CCCTCCACCCCCACCCCTCCCCCACTCCTGGTAACCACCATCCGGACTTCTTTGTTCGTCATCCTCCTGCTTCCCTTTTGATTGTATATTTATATTTGAGTTGTCTGTACCTTATAAAAAGTTACTGCAGTAAGCAATATATTGCTAATATTCATTCATGTTGTTGCAGAAGGCTGTAGTTCATTTATTTTGTATAATATTCCATTGTGACTTTACCAGTTTATTTATCCACTCTCCTGTCCATTGTTACTTGGATTGTTTCCAGGATTCTCCTGGGGACAGTGCTGCGAGGACCATTATTGTACCTATCTCCTGGTGTACATGTACAGGAGTATCTCTTGGGCATATACCTGCGTGGAATTGTCGAGTCATAGTATGAAACTGCAAGTTTACAAATAAGTCCATACTGTTTTTCAAAGAACAAATTAACCTCTATATGAAAATAGATAAAGAGTAGAAACAATTAAAGAGTAAACATCTATAAATATTACTCATGGCTTCATTTATGCTCTTATCATCTGACATAATTGTTTACTTATTCTCTACCCAGTTAAATTCTTTTTTTTTTTTTTTTAAAGATTTTATTTATTTATTTTTTCCCCCCAAAGCCCCAGTAGATAGTTGTGTGTCATAGCTGCACATCCTTCTAGTTGCTGTATGTGGGACGCGGCCTCAGCATGGCCGGAGAAGCAGCGCGTCGGTGCGCGCCCGGGATCCGAACCCGGGTCGCCAGCAGTGGAGCGCGCTCACTTAACCACTAAGCCACGGGGCCGGCCCTACCCAGTTAAATTCTATACTTCAAGTTTCAGCTTAAGATTCACTTCCCCCATGTAGCCTTTTCTATTTAACCTATTCAACAATGTTTTTCCCTGTGAATTTCCTCAGTAAACGTGGAAGCTATACTATCCCATCATTTCAGTACTTTTACAGTACCTTGCAATTATTCTTTAGATCACTGTTACCTACATTTTCATCCTAAAATACACTTGTACTTTTTAAAACTTGAATAACGTGTCTTAGCACCCACCATATTAATAACTATTCCTCAGTCAAAAACTGGCAAGGGAGAGTATCATTGTATGTTTATAGAGGAAATTAAAAATAGAAGGGCAAGTGTAATTATTTAACTGTATGCAATAGGAAAGACCTGACAAGTTTAGAGAAGCAATAAGACTCCCTCGAAATTTTTGTTAAGCATATAGTTTTATCTAATTTATAGTGCAGCAAACCTAATTCAGAATCCTGTGAACAATCAGAGATCACTGAGAACCTAGTTTTTCTTCCCCGTAGGGAGTTCAGTCGCACAGATGGACTGTGAATTTTGTATCTGGTTGTGTTTCACCCTTTGCTTTGGTGGGTAGGAAGCTTGAAGGTGAATTTCTGGCCCACCTTTAGTAATTCTGGTACGTGAATGAACTTTACTCTTGGCTTCCTTTACTCTTAAATGCCTTCTATCTACTCATATTTTGTGATATATATTTTGTTAATTTATCTCAAATCTTTTCCGAAACACAGTGGGATATAAGTAAATGACCAAATAAATACACAAATACATGAATGAATATACAAAAAATATGATGAATCAAATCAGATAAAATGCATCCATAGTTTATGTTACAGATGCTGAAATCTGTGCTTCCCATTGTCCTCTCACCTAAGGTTCACCTGGCAGGGTACTTATTCCCTGTATCTGAAGTTTGTAAACTTGTGTTGCCCTGAGAGGGGCAGCCTGAGTGGTGGACCTGCTGTGTTTGCTTCCTTGCCCCCTGCTTTGCCCCGACCACCAGGGCAGTCCCTAGTTGTATTTGGCATCTGGATTTTATTTAAAGAAAGGGTTCTGATGCAAAAACAAATGCAAACTTTTCTCTGCACTACACACTCACCACACACACATCAGCTGACTGTATCTATCCAGTGCTCTACTGTGTGCTCTCTTATATTCTTCACACACTCCTACAGTCCAGAGTGAAGGGAGGTTACAGGCACATCATCGGGTGTCTAGCTCTGCTTGAGAGCATCTCTAAATAGGCAGAATACTTTTTTGAACATTATCATAATATATGTATAAACTTTAGAATAGAAATATTTTATAGGATGAAGAAGAGAGATGACTTCATCTAAGTCATATTAAGAGAGTCCTAAATATAGGTACTAGTAAATCGCTAATTCATTTTTGCCATTAGAAAGCAGATGTAACTATTGGGATATAATACCCACTTGCTTGCAACTTTTTAAGTCTACCAAGCCATAAAGGAGGAAAGCAGCCCTCTGGCTTCTGTGTACTTGGATGTATGTTGCCTGTGCTGCACACACGGCAGAAGCCTGGGCATCTTGCTAGCTGCTGAGTTTCAGGATCCATTCTGATTGCTTCTCCCAAAAGAGGCAGGAGGTATCCCATTTACACAGATACAAACATTCCCACTGCCTTATTTTATCTCTCAATATTTTGTTCCTAATGTCAACAATCACACGTTATTGTGTTTAGCAGCGTATACTTCTGTTAGACTGAGTTCTTTAAGGGTCAGGACTGTGCGTTATTTATCTTTCCATCCCTAGCACCTAGTAAGTGATTGGCACACAATAACATAATAATTAGATGGGAACTAGAACACATGAGGTCAGGTCTCACAAGTCCCCTGTTCTAGCAATTACTATATGTTTATTTCTTTATTTTTTTGTGAGGAAGATCAGTCCTGAGCCAACATCTGATGCCAATCCTCCTCTTTTTTGCTGAGGAAGATTGGCCCTGGGCTAACATCCGTGCCCATCTTCCTCTACTTTATATGGGACGCCACCACAGCACGGCTTGACAAGCGGTGTGTCGGTGTGTGCCCAGAATCTGAACCTGCGTACCCTTGGGCCGAGGAAGCGGAATGCGTGCACTTAACCCCTGCGCCACCGCGCTGGCCCCTATATGTTTATTTATTCAGTCAACAAGACTATGTGTGAGGCATTGTACTACACACTCGTCGTACAACTTCTGGAATGGGCTGTAACTCAGCCAAGACCCAAACCTAATACGACTGAGCAGCAACCATGAGCCTTAGCAGACAGGGCTTCTTAGGGCCTATCTACTTTCCTCTCTGATAAAGAGTAACTTGTGGAGCCCAAAACTTTGTTTTTTCCCCTTCACTCTGGGATCAGGAAAGAAAGGGGAGAAGGCACATGACATACCCAGGACCCACACTCACCACACTCAGCAGAATATCATAATAAGAACCAAATAATAAACTTTAATTTGAATATATTACAGTAGAACATAATAATTCTTTTGAAGTATAAAAATAATTAAAAAATTTTTTCCATTTGCTACAGCCTATAAATAGTACATTGATGCTACAAACCGTACACATTACACTACAGTCCTAAGCCTGGACTGTCCTCTCTCCTACATCATCACATGTAAGAAAAACAGCCGTGCAACACTACTCTGCAATCTTGAGACTGTGCCAAGACATTTCAGAAGTAGCTGTCCTTAATAACAGAATTGGATGGTATCTCTCTTAAACTAGTCTTTATGTTTTTTTACTCAATTCTATAGATTAAAAACTTTAAAAAAAATTAATCTAAAATTCTGGGAATTGCTATTTTGGGAATATCTGTTTTTTCCCAAAAGACAGGAAAATGGCAGGGAGAAGCTAGCGTGTTAAATTCAACAAAAGCTCATTTAAAAGTAAATCACCATCAATGGAAAAGCTTTTCAAGTATAAGAAATTTGAAAATAATAGCTATTAACTGGAAGACAAATTTCATTGCCAAAAGCCACTAAGGAGTTCCATCTGTCTTTTTCCACTATTATGTCTCCTAATATTTTAAGTGAGGTAAGTAAGAATCACAAAGATTCTAAAAATTGTAGCAGGTTCTGCCCAGATCTGACCCACCTAGTATCTTAGATGCTGAGAAACAATTATTGAAAAAGTAGGAACAACATAAAAGGAAACAGAGAAGCTTTAGCATATGAAAAATGATGCAACTTTGTTTTCTAAAATTCAGTTATTCAGGCCAGTTTATTTTGATTTGCGCTCTGAATTGATCAGACCTGGGTCTAAGATAAAAGACAGGAAAACTGGCCATCTTCCTGAGCGGAGCTGAAAGAAGCCCTTGCAACCGTCCAGAAGGAAAGGCCATCTGCTGTGGCTGTGTTCTCCTTTGCTGCGCTGACTCCTGCCCCGTTCCCAGCTCCATTCGGCACAACTTCCCCATCCACAGTGGATGTTGGGGGTCTAGGTGGAACAACTGATGCAGGGCTTACAGGAATTCTTGTCTTTAGTGCTTCAAGGAATTATGACTTTTTTCAGTTCTCATGCTGGATAGGGATGGCTCTGCACTATCTACACGTGTAATACTGGGTACCCTAGACTAACAGAAAAAAATTATATGGTGTAGAAACAAAGGTACTCTAGTACATAAAAACACGTATGTTTATTTCCTGAAAATAGGTTGTGAGCCTAAAAGTGCTCAGTTGTATAATAGGTTCATGATGCGAGAGCTCAGAAACATGAAGCTGGAACATGACTTAGGACAGAGAATCCGGCCATTAGGAGGTCCCTCAAAGGGCTCCACACAATCCATGTCTATTATCGTTACATTAATAAATGGCCACAATGCATATATATAATCTTTGTAGCCCTACTTTCAAAATTGATGTTTATTCAGCAAGATACATGAAGAAAAAACCTAAGTTGTTTTGCTAACTAAAATATAATGAAGACGTGACTAATGAGATTTGTATACTTTGTTTCCTGAATACCTTTAAATGTACCACACAGACTTTTTTCATAGTACTGACTTTTTAAACAACTGCAATACTCATGTTACTCCACTGTAACATGGTGTTATCATCAAGAATTCAATTACTGAAAGAGTAATCCCATAAGTCTATTATCTATTAATGACTGGACAGTCTGATAAAGGATCTCACTGCCATTCTTAGAATCACATGGCTATTTATAACCTCTGCTCTCCCAAGATTCTAATCTTTATAATCTCTGCATCAAGATTCAATGATGCAATACAAAACTCTATGGAATTCCCCAGTAAAATGGGATAATGTACATGGATGGCTAAAATTAAGATGACAGAATGATGGTGACTCTTGAGTATTAAAGGCATTTGTTATTGCAGCTAGGAGAAAATGCTGTGGAATGCTAATATAAAAAAAAATGTTATGCCATTCTCCTTCAAGTCAGTCAATTACATAAGAGGACTCGGAGTATTTTTGGAAAAAAGGCACCAGACAAGTCCAAAGTCTTATTGCTAGTCAGATCTTACCAGAGCCACAGCACAGACTACGCCTCTTAGTTCAGCCAGGAGGCTAGGTCTAAGCAAGCCAGTCACTATCTTGAGGCTCGAAGGGCAAGGAAGGAAATGTCAATAAAACAGAGCCCTGCATCCTACATTCAACTTGAGGAAGATGATTTCCAAGTTTATGTCGAAGTGCTGACTGTTCCTGAGGACTCTGGAGCGACTTTAGACAGGCACTCTGTTTTCCTTGGCCCATTTCTTCATGATGCGGATGATGTACTCCACTTGGGTGTTACCAGTGCTTCTCAGTAAATGGAGCACTTCTCGAAGGGTCTCTCTGAGGAAGAGATTTGAAAGGACAAAGTGTTTCAGCAAAGAATGCAAATTAATAAGTAAAAGAAACTTGTAAGTGTTCTTCATATACTTCTTGTAGGGCATTTCTGGTAATAGACTCTTTCACTATGTATTCATAAACGAATTACAAACTTCGTAGCCTTCTACTCTTATGGTGGCATAGTAAAATGGAAATTCTGTGAAATCCTTCTCACCAACCCAAGTTTTCCTTGTTTACTTACACTATCTGTATACATGCTATTAAACTTTTTTGTCCTAATAGGACATAAATATTTCCATTTCTATGCTTATTCGGCATGACAGAGTAGAAAGAGGGTATATCAAGGAGCTGGGTTCAAAGGGTACGTTCAGATTCTAGCTCCATACTAACAAGTCACTTAACTTGTCTGAGTCCCAGATTTCTCCTGTTTAAGGTGGTAATCACCTTAAACTGGGTGTCACTGCCATATTTGTAAAATTTTACAAAGCCAGAGGAATGGATGATTTCTTCAAGAAAAATAATATATTGGGACGGCCCCGTGGCTTAGCAGTTAAGTGCATGCGCTCCGCTACTGGCGGCCCAGGTTCGGATCCCAGGCACGCACCGATGCACCGCTTCTCCGGCCATGCTGAGGCTGCATCCCACATACAGCAACTAGAAGGATGTGCAACTATGACATACAACTATCTACTGGGGCTTTGGGGGGCAAAAAAAAA